TTCCTGCTGTCACTGTGCTGGCTCTTCTGGCACTGCAGACTGGTCCTGTCTGGGGGCTCAGCACCTCTTCTCCCTGGTCTGCCTCCATCCTCCCCAGTTAATTGCTATTTCCTGGATGTTTTCCAGGGCTTTGTTTCGAATAAGGTCCCATGGGAATCCCAAATGGGGTTTCTGTTTGGATTTTTATTGAATGTCAGCATGAACCTATGGGCAAAAAACCCCCATCCTGTTCATTGTGGAAGCTCAGTTAACTGGGGATGATTAAAGGGAAGCTTGATACTACCTGCCCAGCCATAGAAGTGATTGATGGTTCCTGAAGATGAAAAGCCACGAGGAATCAATCTCAATTTAGTACAACTAAACACTGGGCTTGTATTTTTATCTACTTGAGGGCAAGAGAGAACATGTCTAAACTTCCCCCCGTGACAGAAGTGGGCAGGATTGGGAGGAGGTGGCACAGATGGAAGGGCAGAGCCCCATGGCTCTGCAGGTATGTGTCTGAGAGACCTCATGTCCCACCCTGTCAGTGTGGGAAGTGTTGCTGGAAAAGCTGACAGTATCCCCGAGGTGCAGAGCTGAGGAGCCTCACAGGGGGTGCAGAAAGCATCCACCAAAGGTATTTCCTTGGGGCTCTGGAAAGAGCAGTGGTCAGGCTGCAGGCAGCAACACTGGGTGTTTTCAGGAAAATAAAGAATTCTGGTGTATCTTGTTAGGCAAGAATGAGAGAGGAAGAGGGCTTTTCTCAAAGGCTGCAAGAAGATGGCTTTTCCATCAGTTCTAGATTTTTTGAAAAGGACAGAGATTGTTTGCAGAGATTTCCTTTGAGTGTTTGGTGTTTGCAGTCCAAGTTCTTGTTTCAATGGATGTTCAAGCAGAGACACATGACACATATAAAATGAAAATTAGTGTTTTCACATGTTTTTCTAGAGGATTTAGTTACTCAGATCTTGGTTTTCTTCCTGTGTTTCTCCAAGCCAGGACTTAACTTGGGTGTTCTGGAATAACTGTGTTAACAGTTATCCTGGATGCAGAGCCCTTTCTTTCTGAATTACCTATATCTGCTTTCAAAGCTGGTGATGGTAAATCACAGTTAGGTGCTCTTTCAAACCCAGAGTTCAAACCCTACTTTGTTCTGAAATTACTTTCAGAGGAGCCCCAGGGAAGATCTTGTTTGAAATGAAAACTCCTTGATTTATTAGCCCTTGCATTTTTTGCTTGTACCAAAAAGTTAATCCAGTTCTTTAAGGTGCTTTTTGATTTGCTTTGCAGACTCTAAGATGGCACATTGAACTACAACCGTGGGCAAGTCCAACTCCTTCCCTCAACTATGAGGCCTTGAGGTTCCTGAAGTACATTAGCACTTCTCAGGTAGGTTTTTCATTTCAGTCTCCATTTAGAAAGCAGTTAGCCTGGCACAGCCTCTTCCCTCTCACACAAGGAATTAACCTCACCCCAAACTGATTTCCAAACTGCTTTCTTTTTTAAAGTTGCTTAGCCTGGCAATGATGATCAACATGAATGTAAAGGTCAAAAATTAGAAGCCCTGTGCAGCCTTGTCTGGTGGGAGGTGTCCCTGCCCATGCAGGGAGGTTGGAACCTGATGAGCTTTAAGGTCCCTTCCAACCTTCACCATTCTATGATTCTGTGGAGACAGAGAGTAGAAAGTGTTTTTATTTCCTTGCTTTTTATTTCCAGATAGGTTCATGTCCTGACAGGAGTATGAAGTGGCTGAAATTCCAGATGTGGTTCTTCTCCTTCTGCCTCTCTTTCTCACTCTCTCTCAGACACAGAAAAATCCCTGTAGCCAGAGAACTGTGAATCCACCCAGGCCACCTCTCAATGTTATGGAGAGTCATTTTAGCTAACAAGGAGCGTTTGAGTTTCCCAGTAAAGTGATAACAAGGCATCAGTCCCTAACTTGGACAACTTTTCCCAGTGGTGCCAATAGAATCCTGATATTTTGAGGACAAAAATGATGACCTGGAAAATTAGTGGTTTAACGTGCTTTTCCAAAGGTGACATTTCCAAATCCAGATTGTGTTGACAGGTAATTCCAGGGTTCAGGTTCCAGGTATAGGGCCATTGTGTCTTAGTGGAGGCTGCACTTCTGCACAGCAGCATTCCCACGTGTATTTTGTGTAATAAAAAATGGAAAAGGTGCTGGATACCTGCAGTTCCAACAACTTTCAGTACCCAGGCCTATCAGCAGTTGGCCCTTGAATACAGATTAAACTGCACCATCATGTACACTGAGGCAAAAGGCCTCAGGTGCTATTGCCACTGAAATGTCATTCACATACAACATTGTTTGTTCATTCAATGCTTTCAAGACTGAGATGAGATTCATTTGAAACACATCTAAAAATGTGCTACTGGTGTGGTAACTGGGAGGGTAGCAGAGTGTTCACTCCAGCTTGGAGTACCCTGGCCAAATGGTCAGGAAAATGACATCTCTGCCTCTGCTCATGCAGGCACTGAGAGGTGAGATGATGCATGTGGAGACAGCAGGAGATGTGTGCAGAGCTGCTGGGCTTGTTGTACAGAAGTTTGGAGTGCAGCAGGCATGTAGAGCTGAAAACATCCTTCATCTGGGTGACTTAATAAGCAGTGGCAGATGCTGCTAAACTCCACTAGTTGAGTCAGAGCCTGCAAGGACATCAATTAGCAGAGAGTTTATTGCTTCTGACACACTAATGGAGAAGTTTTGTTCCCAGAGTAACTGACCCTGGTGGGGGAACAAGCACAAGTGAAAACAAAAAATGTAAGAAATCCTTGTTCCTGACCTGGCAGGTGTTGCAGGAGTAACAACTGACAGGAGAACACCATGAGTGGTGGGAGTGTTTCTGGGGATCCTGCTTAGGTAGATGAGCATGGGATCTCATTTTCCTTGTTTGCAGAGCAAGTGACTGCTAATTGCTGTGCCTCAGTTCAGCTCCCTGCCTGAGCACAGAATGGCTCCAGCTGCTGGGGGGGGAGGATGTCGTGCCAGCAGGGCCGAGGTGAGGCCAGAAAAAGCTGATTCAATTCTGGGATCTAATGACCAGAAGAACCATCTCTCACAAGTGCTGTTGTTTGTTTGATAGTGAGTGAAAGGCCAGAGGAGGACATGAACTCAGCGCCTCAGGGTCTGCCAGTCATGCAACAGGCATGGTGCTACAGGCATGGTGCTACAGACAGAGTTCAGGGGTTTTTAAATTTTTGATAGCTAGAGCTATTAAGTAGCAGAAGCTGTTTATTAACATGGCTCCAAATGGTGAGTGTTGTGATTGCTCCATGACGTGGCAGCATTGCAGAATCTTAGTTTTCTGTAGAGGTCACATTATGCTTCTGTGGCTTCATTTTAGCTCTTGCTATTGCAATACCACTTATTCATTGATTTGTTAAGTGACTGAAGGGAAATGGGTACTGGGGTGCAGTACAAATCATTGCTTCAAATGTAGTGAATCTGAGAGCAGCATGAAGAAATGCTGTATTAGCTTTTTTCCCATGGGAATGATGAGCTGAGCAGGAGCAGGGAGGTGGTGATGCAGTGTGCAGCTCTTGGGAGGCAAAGCTCCAGGTGATGGTATTTCAGAGCTGACTTACAGAATGAGAGCTTTATTTACTTACTATAAGAGCACCTAGCACAGCAGAGGCTGGGTTCCAGTTCTCACTCTCACCCCAGAGCAAAATTGATCCATAGCTGTGGGTGGGGCCAGACCTGTGCTTTTGTGTTGGCTCAAAGCAAGAGCTGAGCCTGGGCAGTCTGCTGTAGAGGGAGGAAGGAGCAAGATGGGAGCAGTCAGTTCAGAACTGATGTTTAACCTGGTTTTGTCTCTACTACTGTTCTATCCACCTTTTCCATTGTTGGCTTCCTGGCAGTGCCAGCTCCCATCCCTGCAGCCAGGGTTGGTTCTGGGTGCCAAAGAGCAACTTTTTGTCGTGATGGCTCAGCTGGGTTCCTGCAGCACTTCTCAGTCTTGGCTTCCTTCTCTGCCTGTCAGCAGCCTGCACCCTGAAACTGTGTGCAGGTCTGGGCTCCCCAGTTCCAGAAGGACAAGAACTACTGGAGAGAGTCCAGCACAGGGCACTGAGATGCTGAAGGAGCTGGAGCCTCTGCCTGTGAGGAAAGGCTGGGAGAGCTGGGGCTGTTCAGCTGGAGAAAAGGAGGCTGAGGGGGGATCTGCTCAGTGCTGATCAATATCTGCAGGGGGTGTCAGGAGGATGGGCCAGACTCTGCTCAGGGGTGTCCAGGGACAGGACAAGGGGCAATGGGCACAAACTGGAGCACATGAAGTTGAAGCTGTAGATGAGGAAGCCCTTCTTGAGTGTGAGGGTCCCAGAGCCCTGGGACAGTCTGCCCAGGGAGGCTGTGGATATTTTTGACACCTCCAGGTTTCTGTTGAATCCATAATGTTTTAATCTTTGTTTTATTGGTCTTCAGAATGACTTTGACTTAGCGTTCTTCCCCACAAGGTCTCTATCCCTTCTCCTTTTGCAGTGTTTTTACCCTGGCTTTAGCCTCTAGGTGTCTAAGCCAGCACAGGGTACACACACGTGCTGTGACTGCTCTGTTTAGTTAAGCACTTCCTTAAATCCCTTTGTTGCTGGAGTGGGAATGTGTTGGGATAATGGTTAAATCCCTTCTGGAACTGAGATCCAGGGTGGTTTGAGGAAGGAATACAGTATGCTTTGTGGTGACACTGCAACTTGTTATTACAATCTTGAGTTGTGACATGATTGTAACATTACTCAGGATTCAGAATCCACTCCAGAGTTTGAAAAGAGAAATAAAGAACAGAATGTTTCAGTGTCCAAATAACTTGTTCTTGCAGAAAATTGATTTTTAGGTGTAATACTAATGTTTAATTATTTACTTTTCAAACTGCATTGCTCTCTGGGGTATTGTGTAAGCCCCAAATTTCACCAAGCAGAACAGATGAACAAGGAAGAGAAGATCATGGAGTCTCCATAGCTCCTATCAGATTGACAATCAGCTTGAAATGGAAACAATGTTTTTCTTCTTTCCACTCTTTCCCCAGAAGGCAAATGAAAAGCAGAAGTCATGTCTTAAAAATGAAACCTCCCTTGTTTTGGACAGATTTCGTGTGAACACACGAACCTGAGCAGCCTGAGAGGGTACTCTGGAACCACAAAGCAGCCCTGGCCAGTGTGTCTTGATGAGAGGTTTAGCCTGATCCATCGAATCCGGAGCCAGCAGTGCCGCCTCTATTCCCTGGGGTAAGTGCTCTCTCCCTGATCCATGGCACCTACCTCCAAAAAGCTCTGTGGATGCATCACAAGCTGCAGCAAGACTTTGTTGAGGTTTGTTTGTGGCGTGTGGTTGTGCCTCTGTAAGTTGTTCTTAGGGAAAAACACCTTTCTACTTGAGGGTCTTTGTTTTCCTTGGCTTTTCTAACATCAGTATGAAAACAAGTTGGTTAATGGTGAGTAGTGAGTGGAAGTTCACCTAGAGCAGCATATTAGCTTTTTCCCCATGGGAATGATGAGCTGAGCAGGAGCAGGGAGGTGGTGATGCAGTGTGCAGCTCTTGGGAGGCAAAGCTCCAGGTGATGGTATTTCAGAGCTGACTTACAGAATGAGAGCTTTATTTACTTACTGTAAGAGCACCTAGCACAGCAAAGGCTGGGTTCCAGTTTTCACTCTCACCCCAGAGCAAAACTGATCCATTACTGTGGTTGTAGGTGGGGCCAGACCTGTGCTTTTGTGTTGTTTCAAAGCAAGAGCTGAGCCTGGGCAGTCTGTTGTAGAGGGAGGAAGGAGCAAGATGGGAGCAGTCAGTTCAGAACTGATGTTTAACCTGGTTTTGTCTCTACTACTGTTCTATCCACCTTTTTTATGAACCCAGAGTTCATTTGCATAGATGGAAATTAATGAGATAAACTGAACTCTACAGCATCTTCCCTGAGCAGAAGTAACTGTCATAATTGCCAGGTACTTCAGCAGCATTACTTATAAAATTTCTCTCACCACCCTTGGGACAAAATAGTGCATTTCCATATGAGAGTGTGTTTGCTGATCTCTTCAAGAGCAACATGTACTCAAGTGATGATAATAAAAGCAGTTGTGGCTTTATTTTAAAATGTCTGTTGTGTTCATGATATTTGCAGTACTTGAGATAAAAATGTTCACTCTTCACAGAACAAGTGCTTTCACAGGTGGTAAAACCACAAATGCAGCCTGGTTCCTTGCTAATGAAACACTCTGCTCCCCTGGAGGACCAGGGAGGTCAGTCCTCAGAGTTCCTCAGCCCACTTTTGCACTGTCCATCAGAACACAGGTGCTTTAGGAGAATGATCACTGGGATCTGGAGCTGCAGCCTAATAGAATTATAGAATCACAGACTGGTTTGGGTTGGAAGGGACCTTCAAGATCATCCAGTTCCAACCCCTGCATGGGCAGGGTCACCTCCCACCAGCCCAGGTTGCTCCAAGCCCCATCCAACCTGCCCTTCAACACTGCCAGGGATGGGGCAGCCACAGCTTCCCTGGGCAACCTGGGCCAGGCTCTCACCACCCTCACACTCCAGAATTTCCTCCTCATGTCTCCCCTCAATCTCCCCTCCTCCACTTTTCATCCATCCCCCCTCATCCCATCCCTCCCTGCCCTTGTCCCAAGCCCCTCCCCAGCTTTCCTGGAGCCCCTTCAGGCCCTGGAAGGTGCTCTAAGGTCTCCCTGGAGCCTTCTCTTCTCCAGGCTGAACACCCCAACTCTCCCAGCCTGTATAATAAAACTGTAATTAAACTGTCTTTGCTGTCCTGGGAGCCAGTTTGATGTAAGAGGTGAATTGAGAGGCTTCAACCAGCACAGTTTATTTCTGTGGTGTTGCTGCAGTGTGGTTACAAGTGCTGGCTGGCAAGGAGCTGTGTCTGAGTGGCATTTCTCAGTGATCAGCACGTGGCAGGTAACACAGGGATGAACATAAAGTGATGCTGGTTTGGGTATGGTACAGGAAGCTTGAATGCCAAGTTTTCTTTACTGGTGGAACAGCAGGGTATAGCAGAGATTAAAATCGATGGCTCTCAGTAATCATCAGGTACAGGTGTGGGAAATGCCCAAGCATCACAGGAAACAGCTACAAAATAAAAGGGAGATGTTTGAGGTTAAGAGGAAAGGGAAGTATTTGAGGTTAAGGAAGAGCAGTCTTCAATCATCTGGTTTACTTCTGCAGCCTTTGGAGCTCGTTACTGCATAATTCTTCTCTCAGACTTACTTCCTTTGGCTTATGACAGGCAGGAAAGTAATTTTGTTCTGAGTAAGACAAAAATCCCCTTTAAGCATTTTTGTTATCTCATACAGCTCATAAAGAGCAAAGGGGGAGCAGCTGCTTCCGATGAAGAATATTCTCTCTGGAGGGGATGGATGGAGGACAAATGTGAAAGTTCAGTGTGAGTGTTACTGGGAATCCTGAATTAAATCCATATAGCATTAAAAATGGAACACAACATGCTGATCAGGCTTTGCCTTCTTGAATGCTGTAGGAGAGGTTAGTTGTGAATGGAAGTGAGCAGCACCTGAAATGTCTGGAGGTCTTTATAGATTAGTATTAGTTGCTTCCACTACTGGGAGGCAGGAGTGTTTTTGCATGGGGGACAGGATTTCCCAGTATGAGACATAATTGCAATATGCATTAGTGAGCTCTAGTTATTAGTGCTAAATCTGCTTGGATTAAGCTAAGTCTGTTACAAACACCACAGGCAGGAGCTCAAGCTGGGATAATATAAATGAATAGGATTTCAAAAAGTTACCAGTTGAGGTTTAAAGAGGCTTGCTGCAATACTGAAGGAAAAGCTCTTTCAGGTGGATCCCAAGCTGGTGAAAGGTCTGGAGAACAAGTCCTGTGAGGAGAGGCTGAGGGAGCTGGGGGGGTTTAGTCTGGAGAAGAGGAGGCTGAGGGGAGACCTCATTGCCCTCTGCAGCTCCTGGAAGGAGGGTGTAGGGAGGTGGGAGTTGGGCTCTGCTCCCAAGTGAATAATGACAGGAGCAGAGGAAGTGGCCTCAAGTTGTGCCAGGGGAGGTTTAGATTGGATATTGGGAAGA